ACTTATATTCATTATTAAAGTACTTATATTCATTATTAAAGTACTTATATTCATTATTAAAGTACTTATATTCATTATTAAAGTATTATATTCATTATTAAAGTACTTATATTCATTATTAAAGTACTTATATTCATTATTAAAGTACTTATATTCATTATTAAAGAAAATATTTTTAACCCCCACTAGCTACCTTAAAAGAGTTTGCTTGTAGTTCCTGCTGAACATTTGCACTAAAATGTTACATCAGTTATGCTGTTATAGCTGCAAATAGTAGAAAGAAAGATTCTGGTCACCTGGAGATCAAGGAAGGGTAATTCACTGATAGATACTGGCATACTGCAATGGCTAAGTATGACATACCTTAATGGCTGCATATGCCAGTGCAGGTAGCAAGTTGATGCATTTCCTAAGATTGTGCTGACATATGTAAATTCCGTACAGCCTGATATCAACTGTAAGTGTAATTGATTCATGACAGTCACATGTTATTTGCTTGTAGGATACAGGTGAAACAGAAGAACAGAAAATGGAGCGAAATAAGCGTGAAAGAGAGCTGGTCCAGTCAGAATGGACAAGTAAACCGAGTAAGACACGCACACACAGACAATCAGTAAATAATGCGTTTCATAACATTTTCGATTAAGACTCCTAGCATTCATGTGTGTGAGCATGAGTGTGTTCCTGTGTGTACGTAAAAGCATGTTTGTGATGAGTGCACGTGTGGATGAGTACACATGCGTAGTTTAAATTTTTCTACATAGAGCTGACTGTGCTTTTCAGTGGTAGCCAGGCAGAAGTTCTACCTGATGAATTGGCAGACTCTGTGCAAGACAGAAGAGGGCCATTATGTTCCGGGAGAGGTGGCCTGCGTCGAGTATAGTCTTGAGAAGGGCATTATGAGGGAATTTCACCGCTTCATAGCTCCAGGTATGCTGCATGCAGCCATTTGCATTATATCCAGGGGCGGCGCCACGGTTTTCAAAGTGGGGGGGCCCAATTGAGAGAACGAAGCGACCATGCCGGGGGAGCTGAGTTATTCGGGCGCGAAGCGAATTTCAAATTTTCAAATGGAAGAAAAACGGAAATAACACCTTTTCAGTACATGTCTGGCTATGTACATGTCAACTATAGTGAAGTATATAATTTGCATCAATATGAATACATGTAATAGGAATAAAGAATATGAAATGGGGAATCTTTTTCAGGGCGTACAGAAATTTTCATTTTCTTCAACCTGGTAATAGTCAAAAAATAACATTGCTGAATGATATTTAAACACTTATAACATCACT